TATCCGTGCACTTTCTGCGAGAAACGGTTCGCCAGTCAGGGCGAGCTGCGACTCCACCGGAGGACTCACACGGGCGAGAGGCCGTACCACTGCTCCATCTGTCTGAAGAGCTTCTCTCGCCATTGGCACCTCAAGACGCACCTGGACGCCATGCACTCCGAGGTGGTTGCCGGTTTCACCAGGAAGAAGTTTCCGTGCTCGGACTGCGACAAGAGCTGCAACTCGGCCGCTGAGCTGCGGGACCACCAGCGGACTCACACGGGCGAGCGGCCCTATCAGTGCTCATTCTGCGACAAGCGGTTCGCCTTGTCGGGCACATTGGTGCGCCACGAGCGCCTCCACACGGGGATCACGCCCTACCACTGCTTGGACTGCGGCAAAACCTTTGCGCAACAGTGGACGCTGACCACGCACATGCGCACGCACCGGGGCGAGAAGCCATACAGCTGCACGCAGTGCGACAAGTCGTTTGTGGCACCCGGGGAGCTGCGGAGGCACACTCGGATACACACAGGGGAGAAACCGTACACGTGCGGCGACTGTGGGAGACACTTCTCATTGGCTGGGACGCTGAGGAACCACCGAAAGTCATGTGCACAGATGAAAATTGGACCGCCTGCGGTTGAAACTGCATCGGGGGGCTCGTCTGAGAAAGACACGAAGGCCAGCGACATCGACACTGAAGTGAGCAGCTGACTTTTTTTTCCAATTGTCTTTGAGGAGCAGTGGGCATTTAACAAAATTTATTTGACCTACTTTTAACGAAATTATGAGCAAATACACAGTCCATGGCCCGGTACACAGGCACACACACAGTGTGTGTGTGTGTGTGTGTGTGTGTGTGTGTGTGTGTGCGCACACACAACATTTGAAATGAATAAGTATTTTTGTTGTTGTTAATTTTTTTTAGGTGTGTGAGATTCAAGCTGCACCCAACATTCAGGCCTCCTCCGCCTTCTCGTCTTCCTGCTCTTCCACTTCTTACTCCTCGTCAGATGACGTCAACTGTGAGCAAGCAACCGAGGCTGAAAATAACTCAAATATGCCGGAGACGGGAGTTTCCAGTCCGCACATGAGCGTCGTCGTGAAAGAAGAGGAAGAGGAGGAACCTTTGTGCGGTACATGGACATGGCACGTTACATTTCCAGATAGTTTGTGGATGATTCCAACTTACCTGGGATTGTTTTGTTACATTTTTCCTCTGTCGACCAGATGAAGCGTTGGCTGCGGAATGCCCTGCTGAAGACAGAAATTTACCTCCAGTGAAGGAAGAAATAGAAGATGATGGTGATGTTCTCAACAGTAAGCACATTTCTGCAAAGCTTCAGTTGTGTTCCGAGTCATCGCCGCGTGTTGGAAAAGGGAGTTGTCATTTTTTGTTTGCATTCGCCAGTTGATAATAGAAGTTTTCTCAAGGCACTTTGCACAACAGGTGTCCAAACTCCGGTCCTCGGCCTCCACTACCCCTACGTCACCATAACATTATTCAGAGTTGAAATGTCTCATCCAGTGATTCTTTTTTGTGCCTCTCGAGCGGAGCCCAGATATCACAAACTTTTCCAATCTTACAGGCAGCAGCAGCCAAAAAGTTGAATCCAGTTTTTGTTTAAATTGTGGTCTTTCCGCAGCACCTCCAAGGGACGGTCAGGATGCGTCAGGCTGTGACAAAATCATCTCTCCGACCTCCCCGGTGCAGGATCAGCGTAAGAACAACAAGATCACAAGCTCATACTGCTGCGGTTTGTGCGGCAGGGACTGCCACAAGATGTCGGCGCTGCAAATCCACATGCGCATCCACTCGGGCGAGAAACCCTACCAGTGCTCCCTGTGCGGGAAGCAGTTCACCCAGAAGGGTCAACTCAAGGGCCACCAGAAGGTCCATACTGGGGAGAAGCCCTTCGCGTGCCCCGAGTGCGGCAAGTGCTTCGCTCACTCGGGCGCCATGAACCGCCACCGACTGACGCACACGGGGGAGAAGCCCTACCACTGCTCACTGTGCTCTCGCAGCTTCAACCAGTCGGGACGCTTGCGGGAGCACGAGAAAACCCACTTCGGGGACAAGCTCAACTGCCCCGAGTGCGACAAGACCTTCACGCGCTCCTCCAGCCTCAAGAACCACTTGAGGCTGCACACGGGCGAGAGGCCGTACAGCTGCGACGTGTGCGGCCGGGGCTTCAGTCGCTCGCAAAGCCTCAGGCTCCACAAGCGCAAGCACGAGCTGCTGCGGGTGGAGGAGGAGTCCGGCTTCAGCGTGGGGGACGAAGACTTATCGGACAATAACTCCCGGGTCGATGTGTGTAGAAGTGTTAAAAATGAAGAGGATTTATTTCTATAAACCGCACTGAGATACCAGGGGAGTCCTTTTAGACTGTAGAGCGGGCGCTTCTTTTTTTGCTGCGGCCACATTGTGAAAGGTGAAATTCCACAATATTGAGAAACCATGTTTAAAAACAAACAAACAAAACAAAAAAAAAAAAAGCAAACATTTCTTGGGAGGGGCATAGTTTTACTAAATACATTTAACCTAAAAAAAAACAACAACTTATATTATGAGGTACAACGATTAATCAACAACTAATCGTTTTTCAAATTAATTATATTTGAGAATTGTCTTTCAGAAACCTTGTTTCATTTAAAATTGTTCACATCCTTGAAATTTCAACCTCTCACCGGTAAGTCTTATTTCTCTAGTCCTGCACGAAAGCAGACTAATTCGGTTGTGTTGAATTTGAAGTACAGTCATGCCTTATTTTGACGGCAATGTTTTTTTTTATTTTATTTTTTTATACATTTATTAATCGATAGACTAATCAATTATCGATGTTGTTAGTTGCAGCCCTAATAACATTTTCTCAACATAACAGTGTTTCGTCTGCTACTCGTAAAATGTTTATTTTATATGGTCTCTCCATTGCAGATTTTCACCAGTTGCGGACTGGTCTGGAGCACATCCCTCCGAGATAAATCTGTTAAACGTAAAGAAAATTTGCTAAAATGATGTGACGGGGGCTACGCCTGACCCCTAAAGCCCTTGAGTTTGCTCCCCGTTTGTTTGACTGTAAAGAGGACTACTTCTAGGAGTACACCCTCACTAGCATTAACATGGTGGTTGTAATGAGCAAAAAAATATTGAACTTGCAGCTGAAGTCACACACATGCTCATGATGCAATTTTACAAGCATCTCTTTAAATAGACACGAGTAGAGCTCCTATATTCTGTGTGCGTGTGTGACGTACCCCCGTATCCAAATATTTCAATCACAGTTTTTAGAATGTTATTTATGGTAGTTTAACTCTTTATATAAGGTGCGTGATGTCACTGACTTCCGTGCAGTATTTGCTCCTCGCATTGTCAACTACTTCAATTTGAGGACTGTAGCAAGTGGTTACTGCAGTACCGTTACATCAAATGGGAGTAATTTTTTTTTTTTAAAGGGCCATTGTGAATAAGCAACATGATCATATTTATCTTGTGTATACCAAAAACATTTTGCCTTTGTGTACATTGTTTTTTTCTATTCTTTTTGTAGTATTGTCAATACAAATGTGGTTGAGCTGGTTTTACCCTGGTGCAGAAGACTGACTTAGAGTTTGAAATCGAGTAATTATATTCCGGAAAAAGGACAAAGGTGACATTTTGTTGGAAGATTTTCCCTGGGGCCTCACTTGTCTCGATGTATCGGGAAGGCCACACTCAACCTTACAAATAAATAAAAAAAAGTATCGATTTAGTTTGTCTTCCAGAGTTTTACGCTTCAAACATCCATCCAAGTATAGTATTGAAAAAAAATGAAATACAAAAATTTATGGGGAAAAATGTCTTTCCAAGAATATAAAAATAATAGAAAAAAAGAGAATAGTATTCTTATGGGGGCAGAAGCATTCCACATTGATCCAGGTGTCAATATTGTATACAGTGTATATAAAAAAAAAAAGTCGACATGCCTCTGTTCAAATTCCAGGTATTTGTAATATTAAAAAAAAAAAATGACACCATGACAGATTAGATCATTTCAGAACTTTTCCCTGTGGTCTGCAACCTGCACAACACCGAAGGAATGCTCGATGCTATGCTGTACAGCAACATGGAGTGATATAATTAGATCACAGGGCTTTTATTAGGTCCCGAAGTTAGAATGGCCATGCAACCTTTATTTAAGTCGATGCATGTGTTCCTGCTTTCCTTTTAATGTTTACATACAAGGCAACCTCGAGACTCACTTTTCAAGGCTAACTAGATCAAATCTTATATTATTTTCATTTTATATTTCTGAAATATAACTCAGTCTAATTTGATTTTACTGTTAAATTAATATTTTGAAGTGTAGAACAAACCTGAGTAATTATTGTGGCATTTATTTCATTAAATATTTACTGGCAATTTCAATTTGAGTTACCCATGTATAAAATACAGTACTGTAGTAACAATAGTAAGTGCCTAACTGTTCCCAAAATATGCTTTGAGTTTGATATGAATTATTTGCTCATGACTCTTTTCTTTATGGGGCTGTGATTTTAATTACCTTATTTTTTTAAAGATTTACCAGACGTGTTGTGCATTTGCACAAAATATTAGTATCTCTGATGTTGGATTTTACTCCGTATCCGATGGGAAAGGAAGAGTTAACTTTGTGTACAGGTTTATTTCCCCCATTGAATGAAAACAGCAAGGCTGTTGTAAATAAGTGACAAAAATAAGTCATGTTTACTCTTGTACTTAATTGCATTTCAGAGTCTTTACTTTTTTACATTTACGCACAATATCTTTACTTCTACTTAAGTAGTTTCGTGACATCTGTAAAACATCAAGTCCTTTTGGGGAATTCTTTATAATTATGAAGAGAAACAGTACAGTTACACTTCCAAAAATAGCTTGCAAACAGTATACTGTAATTTCGAAAATGGCTTGATTTTCACTATCGTACACATTTTAAAGTTTCACAAACTCCGGAGTGGTTACTGAATGCAACACGATGGTGAATGGAAACGTCACTGGACGTTCATCAAGTCGTACTATTTCTTCATAAATACAAAATTTACACTCAGCAAAGTAGCTAGATGATGTTTGGAAATGAACGGGAAAATTTTTAAGTTCAACTAGCGCGAATCTGTAGTAAATGGGAGGTTTCACGAGCGGAATATATCACATTTTCGACGCTTCTAAATGCGTCACGAGAATAAACAGACCCTCACTGCGTCAGCGTTGTGCAAACACACTTTTGCCTCTCAGTTCAGTCGTTCCAAAACGTGGTTGAACTGGTGCGCATGCCTTCACTTAATTTGCTCATTAATATTCAGGTAAGAGCAGCTTAAGTCAACGACATTTGTAAAATTTCTTTGAGAGCTCACTGCGCTTGGGCAAAGCCGCTCCTGAGCTAAAGATAGCTAGCGAGCGACTAGCGCTTGGAGTCGTAATAAATAACAATTATTAAATGTTTCAGCGTGTCACATTTAGGGTAACTAACTTTTTAGTCTAAAGTCGTATTGACGTGATATTCAATGTGGAATATACGAAGGTAAGAGCATTGTGTTCTTTGAATGCAAATGGTCATGTTCTACCAGCGGTGTTTATGTTTATTATGTAACGTTCCGAGATAGTTGTTGCGCTTAAAGCATGCTTTGTGATAAAGGGCGTAAATGGTCAGACTTAATACACTTCAGCGAGGGACAAACAGATGGAGAGTGTAATCAAACTTTTTAATTGGATATAAGTCATGGAGCCATTTGCCCAACTGCTAAAATGTTAATGTGCACATTAGCTGAACATAAAAAAAAAAAAATAGTACGAGATATCGGCAATCGTCAGTAATATGAAATAAGATCATTGATATAGGAAATGTACAGCATACATGAACACACTTTCTTATAATACCTAAATATGATTCAGGCCAAACAATGGTCGACTGGGTTTGATTCTGGCTCCGGCGTTCCTGTGTGGAGTTTGCATGTTTTGGGTTTTCTCCGGGTACTCCGGTTTTCTAACGATTTGCAAAAAGACATGTCATTTAAAAATCATTGCACTTTGTCCTGTTGGCTATCTCAGAGTCCCACGCGGTGCCGTCATGGTGTCGTATAAACTGTTGAACCCTGAGGATGTCCAGCTATCAGAAGTCAATCACCTTGTCGAGGAGGAGGAAAATCCAGTGAGTTGATAAGTTATCATTAAGTGTGTTGTCAACCTTGAAAACTCATGTTCCCCCCCCCCCCCGAAGCCCTGAAGGGGGAAAAAAGAAAATTTTCTGTAGGAAAATCTCTGAATGAATTATGCATTTCCCCCCCACAATTTAGAATGGCTTCCAGGTGTCTTAATAACAATAAACCAATTCATGTTACGGCAGCTTTCTGAGCCACAGTGGTTATGAAACTCTTTTTTTTTTTTTTTTTTGTCTGCATGACTGTATTATACTGACCCTCCGGCGGCCAAATAACACACACCGGAAGCTGCAATGAATTAATCATGATGCACAAACTGCAAATGGAAAGTGTGTGCATTAGTCACCCACTGGCATATTCAACGACTGCAGCTCTGCTTACCCTTTGTCTTTGGCATATTGATAATGATTGTGTGCAGTCAAACGATGGACTTTGGATGTTGTTCTCCAACGACAGAACGACGAGCCAAGTTATTATCCAGATCAAGGCTAAAAAAACAAAAAAACAAAACAAAACCCTAAAATTTCTTTGTGGGGCAGTTTTGCGAATGAAGGACTTCATCAACAGTTTTCTTTCTTATCTTCGCATTGTGTGTAGCAGCAAACTTTAGTTTCTTGTCGAGAAACAAAGCTAAATTGATTAAAAAAAAAAACAAAACTGCTTCGCAACGTCTTTCAGCTTAGTAGAAGCCAGCTAGCTGATGCTGTTCCGAATCAGCATCAGATTTATTGGCCCAGTATATAAAACGCACAAGGAATTTACGAACGGGAAGCCTGGCGGTTCGCTGTTAACCCTTTCATGCACCAATAATGATAACCTGATTACACGATAGGCTGTCCCCTGTAGTGACCGTGCTCCCTGAAAGGGTTAAGCGCCCCAATAAGCTATTGCTAGATAGCTGTCAAGCTCGAGCCCTGTGAAGCTTTTTTTGGACAGTCTGAGTGGTTCTCCTGTTGATGCTACGTTCTTTTGATGGTTGTATTGGCATTTGAGTCTCAGTTTTGCTCTTCACTCTGTAATAATAGGATGCAAAATATCAATTTCGACCTGCAAATAGCAATGCAAAACTGCTTATTTCAAGCCTTATCCCAATATCCCAAACTCTTTGCGATTCGTCTTCGTGTAGGCTCATGTGACTCTCCTGTTGTCGAGTCTGATGTTGTCTTATGTCTGAAGGTGTTGCACGCAGAAGGAGCCTCTCTGCTTCCCCGTCGTGTGCCGTGCTCGGCCACGACGGGGCTCCTGGTGACCGGCTGTCTGCTGCTGCTCCTCTGCGGAGGCTGGCTGCTGGGCACCATGTTCTGGCTTCACCGCCCCTCTAGCCTGCTGCCTCATAGACCACCGCCGCCGGCTCAGGCCACCTCAAAAGCCAACGCCACCGAGGCCAACTCCCTCTTCCGCGAAGCATGCGCTCTCATCCCGGAGCCGTGGCGCTTCGACTGTTTCCCGGAGAGAGGAGTGGTGGTGACCAGAGAGATGTGTGAAGCGAGGAACTGTTGCTTCATCCCCGCCGCTCAACCTTCGGGAAGTAACGGTGTCCCCTGGTGTTTTTATTCCCCGGAGTTTCCCTCCTACTCCGTCGAGTCAGTGAGTGACACAAGCTTGGGGCAGAAGGCTACGCTTGTCAAAGACGTGAAGGGTTACTACCCTGCAGACATTCTGACTCTGGAGTTGGATGTCCGCTACGAGACGGACACGAGGCTGCGGGTCAGGGTAAGTGAACCGCTTACACCTGCAACAGTGCAGAGGTTGTCGGTTCAATTCCAGCTCCGGCTTCCCTGTGTAGAGTTTGCATGTTCTCCCCGTGCCTGCGTGGGTTTTCTCCGGGTATTCCGGTTTCCTCCCACATTCCAAAAACTTGCACGGCAGGCTGATTGAACACTCCGAATTGTCCCTAGGTGTGAGTGTGAGCACGGTTGGTTGTCTCTGTGTGCCCTGCGATTGGCTGGTAACCGGTTCAGGGTGTCCCCCGTCTACTGCCCAAAGACATCTGGGATAGGCTCCAGCACCCCCCGCGACCCTAGTGAGGATAAAGCAGATCGAAAATGGATGGTTGGATATATATTGTCGTGTGACTTGATTGGCTTAAATCTAGTCCTGTAATGATGTCTTACTTGAAATTTAGTCGGGACGCAACTTATCTTCCTTCCTTTCATTTTCTATAGGAACCCTGTTACTGTGCTTTTTCATAATGTCAGGGCAGGTCATTAAAAACAAATGATATAGAGTATCAATAGTCGTGTTTGTGCGCCCAACTAGATCACAGACCCTTCGAGTTCACGCTACGAGGTTCCCATACCTGTTCCCACCGTCAGCAAGAAGGCAGAAAGTCCCGACTACAGCGTGGAGCTCTCCAAGGAGCCGTTTGGTCTTGTTGTGAGGAGGATCTCTACAGGAGCCGTCCTGTAAGTTGCGCAAAAAAAATAAAAAATAAAAACACCATACAGTACAAAGTCTCACGCTTCAGCATTATGTTCTATGATGAGGCTTGATCTTGTTTTATCCAAATGTTTCCTTTCAGCCTGAACACCACCGTGGCTCCTCTCCTTTACGCCGATCAGTTCCTGCAGTTCTCCACCTCTCTGCCCACCGAATTCATCTACGGCCTGGGGGAGCACCGCTCGAGCTTCCTGCATGACGTCCAGTGGAACACGCTCACCTTGTGGGCCAGGGATGTGCCTCCCGTGGTGATGCGACCTTCTCGTTCTCCACAGATGTGCTTCACCGAAGCGTTTTGACGTGGGTGCCGCTTTACAATGTCTGTTTCCTTACCGTGCAGGAAAAAACCAACCTGTACGGAGTTCATCCTTTTTACCTTGCAATGGAGAAGGAGAGCAATGCACATGGCTTCTTCCTTCTGAACAGCAATGCAATGGGTCAGTGTGTTTCTCAACTTCCCCTTGTGGTTAGGCTAATTGCATGAATGCACAATGGTAAACAGAGGAACTGCGTGGTGGGGAAGACACACAACTTAAGACAGACAAATAAAAAAACAAAAAGGAACACTTTTTTTTCTCCGTACAGTAGTATTGAAAGAGCTTTATGGAGAAAATAGACAGACCAAATTAAAAAAAAAAAAAATCCCAGAATTTTGGTTCTTTTATGCCTTCGCATGTAAGCAAGGTGAGCCACAGTAATTTGTTTCAGTCGCTGTTTGTAGCTTAATTGGAGCCTACCTGTGGTAAATTCAGATTGATTACACATTATTTCCCCCGCAGTTGACCGGCATGTGAAAAAAAACGTTCATATTATTATGCGGAGTTTTGTAGATGATTTTGAGGATTTGTTAGATTTTTTTAAAATAAGGTTGTAGCAACAAAATGTTGAGAAGATGAAGCGGTGCGAATACTGTGTATGCATTGTAATTGTTTTTGTAATTGCAGCCACTTGCTGACACAGCACTCGTCAAAAGAATATTCATTTTGGTCGGGCAACTGAAACAGTCAAGCAAGTGGGAATGGTGTGGTGTCCTGTTTCTAGAAGAAATGAGTGTAGAAATGTAATCTCGGTGCATGGTGCGCGCCAGCCGCTTTTTGATACAACACGCTGTTTACTTCCTTATTCTTCTCTATCAGATGTTGTCCTGCAACCTCCCCCGGCCCTCACCTGGCGCACAATTGGTGGGATCCTCGACTTTTACGTCTTCCTTGGTCCCGATCCCGGATCTGTGATCGAACAATATCTGGACGTAGTAGGTAAGTGTGCTTGCGTAATTACCACAAGTGAGGTCCACGCATGACCTAATTTCCTAAATGTGAGCGACCCCCTCATATGTCAAGGACAAATACTTTTTTTTTTTTTACCCTTTTAGTTTTCTTGATGTTTTGTTTTGGGGCATAGCGGTGCCTGGCATGAGTTTGCTGGCTTTTTCAGAACTTTCCTAAATGCCACAATTCGGACCGTTAATCAGTACTGTACATTGTACAGTGAAACCCTTCTACAACGAAATCATGTTTGCAGCAAGAAATTTTTCACAACAGGGGACTTTTCACTGTAGCAAATTTGATCTCAGACGTAAACACGAACATACACTAAAAACGTATATGTGTACTTTCACTTGCATCAATTTCTTGCATAATGTCTTTTATTTTGCTTCCTCCATCTTTCATTTTTATTACCTTTATCCCGTCTTAAAGCGTTAAAGCTTTTCTTTTCTTAACTCCTTGGTATGCAAAGGTCCGTTTTGTCGCAATTTTAGCAATGCAACGTTCGTGCTGCGTCTGAAACAAATACTTCCTGTACGACTGAGCATGTGTAAACCAGTGTGGTGGTTGCCGTTTCCGAACGAAGCAGTAGAGGTCGCTGTGACATGCTGACATTGGATTCGACTTTTGCGGAAGCTTTGTTTTCGTTGTAGTGTATCTCGTTACGAGGCAAGAGCAGAGAAAAAGATTTCGTATCACGGAACAGGGGGACTTTTCGTCATAGGGGGAGCAGAAAAGTGGGAATGGCTTTCATGCATGAAAATGTTTTCACACTAGGGGGTATTTTCACCCATGTAGGTTTCGTTGTAGAGGAGTTTCACTGTACCTTAATTTCTACAGTTACAAGTCAACACCTTAGTAACGTGAATAGTGTTGCCCATTTGGCACAGTGTCAGGTCAAAGAAAAGTGACTATCATGAGAACTGTGCTTATCTTGAAATCCTTTGAAATAAAGATTTCGTCGTGTAAAATAAATGAGCCGTATTGCCCTGCTCTGACACCTTAGGTCGTCCAGCGATGCCCATCTACTGGGCTTTGGGTTACCATCTGTGTCGCTGGGGTTTTAACTCCAGCAACTCCACCTGGGACGTGGTCCGGCGCATGAGGAGTAATGGGATACCTCAGGTAGTGCGGAATTAGCATGCGCCATCCGGTTAAACCATGAAGCACGGAGACTTTCAAAAACATTTGACCTGTCTTTGGTTTCCAGGATGTCCAGTGGAATGACATTGACTACATGGATCGAATTCTGGACTTCACTTTTGACCCGACTAACTTTGCCACGCTGCCCAACATGGTGAAGGACCTGCACGCTCACAACCAACGCTACGTGATGGTCATTGTAAGCACGACAGACCTCGTGTAGTCACCGTTGTCGTTTTGTGGGTAGAGTCTGATGGTCTTTGACCGCAGGATGCTGCAATCAGTAGCGTTCAGCCTGCAGGATCCTACTGGCCGTATGACGAAGGACTCAGGAGAGACGTTTTCATCAAAGACACAGAAGGAAAAACACTCATTGGGAAGGTGAAAATGGGAGACATAGTCAAGCATGGGGGGGTACATCTTATGGTACAAAAAGGAATGGAAAAACTCATTCTCTTGTTCTAGGTGTGGCCAGGCCTGACTGCATTTCCCGATTTCTCTGATAACGTCACCCACGAATGGTGGTACGAGAATCTTAAGAAATTCCATGATCAGGTGCCATTCGATGGATTATGGATTGTAAGTGTCATCTTCATTTTAGGACATTTGAAATTGTTTCTTCAAAGGTAGAGAGCATCAACAATTTAACCGTGCTGCGATCTGTTTGCTGTGTTTAAAATGGATGCCGAGCAGATGTTGGTACACGCCTCTCCAAAAAAAATCAAATGTTGACTCCAGGTTTCCAAATGAACTAATCTGTCTGACAGTTGGATTCATGAAACACATGAAAAAATTGTTGATCCAACTTTTTTGTTTAATTTTAACTAACAAACTAGTTTTTTGTATAGTCCGTTTGCAAATGAGGCAGCAATCTGGGTGAGTGGTTCGCATGGCTGCCTCACAGTTTTGAGGTTTAGAGTTTGAATCTGGAGTGAGCAAGTCTCCCCCCCATCCTGGATTTTCTGCGAGGACTTTGGGTTCCTTCAAGATTCCCAAATCATGTTCGAGTCATTAAAGACGTCATCATTAACCCTTTCAAGGACAGCGGTTACTACAGTGGACATCTTATCATGTTATCGGGTTACAGGGTGCATGAAAGGGTTAATGAGGATAAGCGATACAGAAATTGAATGGATGTTTAGAGCAAGTTTGTCTAGTAAACAACAAAAAAAATCTCATCAAATTAGAACTATAACACTTAATGTTCACCATACCGGTTGTCTTGTCACAGTCTCAAGATTCAAAATAACGATTCAGCAACCACATCAATCTGTACATCCTATTGAAGGATCATTTTGTAACAGTCCTACAGGAAGGATTTTTTTTTTTTTTTTTGTACAGATGTATCTAACACTGTGTTGCAAGACTTGATGTATCCTAACCACCTCCCCCTGACCCCCTGATATTTTGTTTAGGACATGAATGAGCCATCAAATTTCGTAGATGGGTCAACGAATGGCTGCCCGTCAAACAATCTGGAGCATCCTCCATACACTCCAGGTGGGTGAAGTGGATCCGTCAAGCGTCATGCAAAAACACCGTAACGACATCCATTTCTGTAGAACAGTACTTCTGGTTCATTTTTAGGCATACTGGGAGGTTTGCTGCGCGCCAAAACGGTGTGCGCATCATCACTGCAGAAGCAGTCGATACACTACAACCTTCATAGCCTGTACGGACTCATGGAAGGGGAGGCATCTGCAAGGTCGGCAAAGTTTGAGCAAATTAGTCAAAACTCGCTTTGTCTCTGGTTTGCTTTTTTTTTTTAATTGGTCATCTTCTCACTTGTCCAGCGCTCTGAGGAGGATCTCGGCCAAGAGACCTTTTGTGATCGCTCGCTCCACCTTCCCCGGTCAGGGCAAGTACACTGGCCACTGGCTGGGAGACAACAGGAGCCAATGGCATGACCTTTACTCCTCCATAGCAGGTCAGCAAGAAACCGATGAAACCACGCTTCCACACATTTATTCAAGGCCTTGAAAATAGTCCTCCTTTCATTGCTGCTTTTCTGGGTTTTGAAACCGATTGTCCGGTGTTTTAATAAGAACCTGTCACACTTGCACTGTAATGAGTGTCAGTTTCATGAAATGTCATTTTAACGTCCCACTGTTCCGCGTCTTTTTTTTTTCCTCCCCTTTCAGGCATCCTGACTTTTAACCTCCTGGGCATCCCGTTGGTGGGAGCTGACGTCTGTGGCTTCAGCGAGCAACCGCAGGAGGAGCTGTGTGTCCGCTGGACACAGTTGGGCGCTTTCTATCCCTTTACCCGCAACCACAACGCCATCGACATGAAGGTTTGACCCCCTGAATACGAACAACCACGCCACGCGATATTACTTGTGATTTAGTTGCTACCATTGCTGTTGCTCTGAAGTGAGTCATTTTTTTCTTTTTTCTTCAAAATTCAAATTGATCTTCCTGTTCCCAGCCACAAGACCCGACGGCGTTCAGCCCGCTGGCCCGCACCGCCATGCAGCAAGCTCTGCTGCTGCGCTATTCTCTCTTCCCGCTCCTCTACACTCTCTTCCATCACGCACACGCGCAGGGGCACACTGTCGCTCGTCCGCTCGTCTTTGAGTAAGTAAAACGGCGAAATGAAAGGCGCGTCCGTTAGTTTGTGTGCAATGAAAAGAAACACAAAGAAAGAAAATGGTAATGGATTAATTAGAAATGGATAACATAAGTCGATGGTGTTCCAAAATTGTTCCGCCGTTGTCCAATTTGGTAAATATTTGTTCGAAAAACACTTCAAGGCTATTAACAAAAATCAAGTGAAAAACAATAGGTGAGGTGGTAACTAAATGTGCCACTTTCAAAATGAGATTTATTGATTGAAGTTATGACGGTGCCGAAGAACGCTATGTTATTTTTCTGATTATATTATGGATTTCTTTTTTTTCTTCCTTTTTTCACCCTCTCAACAGATTCCCAAAGGACACAAAAACGTACGGTATCGATAAGCAGTTCCTCTGGGGGAGGAGCCTACTGGTGACTCCGGTTTTAGATCCTGGGGTGGACTTTGTGGAGGGCTACTTCCCAGAGGGTCTTTGGTATGACTACAACACGGTGAGTTAAGACCCGGATCTCACCGTCTGGCAGGTGAGCGCTTGTCTACCTGCCGTGGAGTTCTTAACACGTCTGCTCGTATGCCTTCAACCCAGGGCGACTCGCTAAACAGCACGGGGGAAGAGGTGCGACTCTCCGCTCCTCTCGATAAGATCAACCTGCACTTGAGGGAAGGATCTATCATTCCGACGCAGGTAATCACAATGGCGTCAACTGCAGTTGGAGATGTTAAAGATGTTTGTGACGTGCGTTTGTCACAGTACCCCAACGGTCGAGTTTTGGAGCGTAGCTTAGGCCAGGGAGTGTGAAAACTTTTGTGCTGAAGGGCCACGTTTGTTTCCGACATCAGAAGGATGAGGCAACTCATTGTTCGATGATGTAAAAATATTTTGAGTGTGTAAAGCTGTCTCTTTTGATGCTACAGTCATTCATTAATATTATTAGTATTGATTCAATGAATAGTTCTTTCATTTTGAAACATCAATATGTTCAGTTGTGTATTTTGCTAATATTTATTCACATTGCGTCGCTCTTCAACTGGAATTGAAATTATGTCATGAAATAAATTCATGCACAAGGAATACAAATGAATGAATACATTTTAATTAACAAAGTCCTGGGGAAAATAGAGGCAACTAGTTTCCATCTGCAGTGTAAAAATATGGAACAGACTAATTGTGGATCTTAAACAATATCCAAGCATAAACCACTTCAAAAATATGAAAGACATTTTGGGGAGTTTTACGCTGAAGTAGAGGAGTTCGGAAAAAAAAAAAACAGGTTTTGAAAATGAGCTAGCTAGTTGTAGCGTGACCAAAACATTTCTTGTTGGAGGTAAGATTGATTTTATTGCTAACTGTAATAGCTGAACAGTTTGTTCCAGGAAAATAAATGGCGAAATGAGTAGTTTATCGTAAATAGTGCAGAATATAATTGGAAGGAAACAAAAAAAAATCTTCAAGCCATCTTTTTGTTCAACCCAAACCTTTTTGTTCACCTTTTTTTGTGCATGTGCTCCTGTGCATTCCCCATCGAAAGACCCCCAACCTGACTTTGTGGGTGAGCAGCGGCCAGCCTCTTCATCTGATCACCGCGTTGTCAAACAACGGCACCGCCTGTGGCGATTTGTTTTGGGACGACGGCGAGAGCCTCGACACCTTTGAGACCGGCCAGTACGCCTACATCGTCTTCAGCGTGGCTCAGGTAACCACACATTGCTTGTTCCAATTCAAGCGGCAACTTGCAAATCCGCTTCAGTTGTCACAACATTCACATGTACGCACTCAAAAGCGAGTATGGGACAGCAGATGGCAACACTCGAGACATTAGCTCGTATAGGTATACCGGATGAAAAATGGCAACTCGTTTCTCCATTGGGTCCACAGCAAACGATGAGCTCGCGCGTGCTCCGCAACCACTTGGAGGCCTCGTACATCACAGTGCAGTCGGTGTCTTTCTACGGCGTGAAGGAGAAGCCAAGCAAGGTGCTGGTCAACTCCAGAGATGCCACCTTCGCCTACAGGAGCAACCAGGTGGGGCAGAGGAGATTCTTTCTTTCCTACACAACATTGCAATTCTGTCCCACTATTGCCGAGGAATGCTGTTTTAATTAATTAATTTTTTAAAATGTTTTGGGGTGTGTGTGTTTGTGTGTGTTTTTTGTTTTTTACGAATGCTTATGACACAGGGACACCTTCAAATAGTTTGGTGGGCTGAGATTTTATACTGAAGTTTGTCAGTCGATCTTTTGGTCATCAAACTGGCCCTTCTTGATCTTTACTTCGCTGTCTCTTTCTGTCCTCGCAGGTTTTATCTGTAGCCGATCTCGGCCTTAACCTCAGTAAGAACTTCACCATCAGCTGGCTGTGAGCCCCGTGACCGCTTGCTTTGATCGACCATAGCTACTGATGGCTCTCCGAGTAAGCCTGAGAGACTGAGTGTCTGAAATAAATAGACACTCTTAACACATCCCATCAAAAACTGTTTTTTTTTTTTTTAATTGACTATTTTAGTGACTGATTTGAGAATGGCTTCACCAAAGTACCCTATAACTTTACCCATGGAGGATGTTCCAGGCAAGTGTTTTTTTTAGATATACTTTTCAAATGTATTTTGAATGATGAGAAGGAACAGTCCTTAGATTTTGATAAGAAGCCACACATACAGTAGATGACATTTATGGTTGAATAAAATGGGATCCATATTGCATTTTTGGCAATATTTAAATATGAAGAATGCCAAAACAGACTAGTACAGACCTATTTGTCTTGCTGGTAAGGACAAAGTTTGTACGAGCATATGGACCTCAATTTGAACGTAACAGATGTGGAGTAAATGCTCAAATGACTTTCCATTGCGCTGGAATTTAGAAAGCACGAAGGCATTTATTCGTGTGTACAAATGCACATAAACCTGTGTAAATACAATTCATGTTTATTTGGATTTGATGTATGTATTTGAAATCCCCCTCCCCCCTTCACACCAGCAAGATGTGATGTGCAGTAACCAGGAGACATTTGTCAGTGTTGCTACTTTTGCACTAATTTATGAGATGAACACTGGTGCCTTGTGATTTGTTTAGCATTTTTCTGTTAAGTTGCTGCTTGTCATGTCATGTTGGCCAATCTTGTTTGTGTCTTGTGCAGCAATAAAGTTTGTTTTGAAAGTACAGTACTTGCACTTGTACTACCCGCTCTCTGCCGCTGGATGGCAGCATGTCAACGTTTGTACTTCATGCATTTCAGGCAGTGGTTCTTTCCCTTGTTTGAGGTACCGAACCCAACCGGTTCATATGCTGTAAGGCTTTAAATAGGCCAGTTCGTTCACATGCTAACTGTTTCCAGATGAAACACAAATCACTCATTCATCGATTATAGGGGGCGGGCCAGGGAGGCGGCGAAAGAAAAGAGCAGCGGGGGTCTTTCTAAAAGCATTCTGCTCCTCTGACAGGGGCATTTCCTGTCTGGATTTGGGAGGATTAGTTATTGTGTGTGTGGGGCCTTCGGCCTACAACGACTTTGTTCTGTCATAGAACAATTTTAAAAAAAAGGTTTAAGGTCTATATTAGCATAAACAAAACAGGCACGATACATTTTGAAGGGTGTCATAAACACAGATTTCCTCTTTGTGTCTGGTGTGGAATGCTTTTCTTTCTAAACGTGGCACTTTGTGGTCTTGAGACTTGACAAAAGCCTAACACAACCACGCGTGCATACTTTCTCTCTTTGAGTCCATAGCATGAAGAAGAATGCTTTTAGATTGGACATTGTCGACTCGTCCTCCCACTTCCTGCCCAAGATTTTTATGAGATTATAAATGTTGGTATACCTACACTGTTGCCATTTCAAAACAATTCAGGCCATAGCTCAGTGGTTCTCGAACTTTTTTTACACCAAATACAAGCTCAAAAAAATACTGAAAACAAAACTTAAAAAAAAAAAAACTCTTTCATGCACCCTGTAACCTGACATGATGAGCTGTCTGCTGTAGTAAATGCTGTCCCTGAAAGGATTAAAATGAAAATCAGATTTTTCCACTGTGGTAAAGCAGTGTAGGCTTAGAAAAGTACGTGTATTTACTTAGCATATAATAATAATGAAGAAAACCGACCTTTTCATCTCTTGATGAAAGGATGCACATGGACATTTACTCAGCTTTTCATGTAAACAGTTTGTTGCGAATAGCACATTTACCAGTACTGACAACCTCATTCAAATCAATGTTACCCACATTGTCCCCCACCCACAAACTACTAACTAACCAACTAACTAACTGCATAAATAAATAAAGTGGACGCTCACAGATTTGTTTCCCAATTTTTTTTGGGGGGGGGAAGCCAACCCACGTTTTTGGAAAATGCATATCAGCGTGTTTTGAAGAATGTTATGGGTTTAAGAAAAAACAATCTCCCAACACATTCCAACCAGTCTCAATACGCAAAATGTGTGTTCGTGTGTGTGTGTGTGTGTGTGTGTGTGTGTGTGTGTGAGTGTCAGGTGACTCTGACACACCTAGCAGACAGGACAGGACAGGCTGATTATTTGAGTAACAACCAACCACACCTTGTTCAGAAGCTTCATGTAATCCCTGAATTAAATATTATACAACCACTAAAGACCCAATGGAGGGCATTAGTGTACCTAATGTTGTGGCCCACCAGTGGGTTTCAAAAGTAAAATGTATTTTTCCCTCACCTCCCCCGGTTTCTCATGGAAAACATTTTTTGAAGAATGGTATGGGTTTATTTATTTTTTCCCCTAATGCATTTCAACAGGTATCAATTATATGCATACTTTGGGGATGCACGGGTTGGCCCAGTCACGATCTCCTGCGAATAGCGGCGGTCGACTGTACATATAACGTGTTCGTAAGAGCTAAATAGAAATTGCTAGCACGTGGGTTTGACCTCCCATGAAGTGATTTTTCTCCCAAATCATCACTTTAAAAAAAACAGCCTTTCACACAATAATGTACTGTATATTTTTATTGTACGCGTGTAAATTCAGCGGGGAGGCGGGCAGAGACTGATGCGCATGCGCATCGTAAGCCCCGCCCACAATGTGTGACACCACCCCCGACCTTCCACAGGTGTCGGATCTACTTTGGTGCTGACTCTCGAGGGAAGAACATCATCTTTCTCCGTGTCAACATAAGCTCCTTCGGGAAAAAAAAGTTCCACGACTGGCTTGTATTGTGGATGTAAGCAAGCCCGCCGGAGAAGTCGGGGGAGGGGAACCACCACCACCACCACCACCGCGAGGGAGTCCGCGGCGCAGCCGCCAACAAGCTCGGCGGGATGTCGGCGGTGAAGGCTCTCCAGCAGTGGTGCCGGGTCCAGTGTGACGGCTACCGGGATGTGACGGTCAGTAACATGACCACGTCTTTCCGGGACGGCCTGGCTTTCTGTGCCATCATTCACAAACACAGACCGGATCTCATGTGAGTACGACGCAAAACATTGGACGAGTTTAGTTGACTTCGTGTCACTTCACTTTGGGATAGTTTGCTCCCTAAAAATGAGGAAGGAGCTCAACAGGCAGGGCTCCCTCTTCATTGTTTTGAAGTCAAATCAGAGGTGGCAAAAGTACTCGCTTTGCGTACTTAAGTAGAAGTAACGATACTCTTTTGGGAAAAAGTACAGATTTTTTTTTTTTTAGATTTTGTATCTATCTCAAGGGCTTGTCCCAACATCTCCCGCGAACCTGTTTACGTGTGACAAACCACAAAACATGGTTTGCTTCAGTGTTCTCACCGCAAATGTTCGGATCATCCGAGACCATGAGGATTTAATGACGGTATTTAAACGGAGTCATCATCATGAGGTGTTTGACCATGACTCAATAAGGCAGATTCTATTAACAAATGAGGAAGTTGACAAATGTTTCCTAATGGGTTTTTTTCCCATTCTTGCAGCGATTTTGATTCCTTAAAGAAAGAAAACGTCTATGAAAACAACAACCTGGTAAGAAAGAGTTTACATGCTGTATTTACATGTAGGTTTTTTTGGGGGGTGGGGGGACTGGTGACAAATACCCTCACTATTCACTTAAATCAGCGTAGGCAGGACAGTAAACCGCAGGTTAACTAAACCCTAAGTAACCTTTTAATATTTATTGACATTATTATTTGCTGACCTGATGGTGTTGATGGGGTAAGTCAAAAACTAGTTTCATCCGACATACTTTGTATTTGGAGATAGTTGCAGAGAATATGTGCATAGATTGAGAATTAAGTAGTACCCAGTTGTGGGGATAGGGCGTTAAACTGCTTTTCAATTTGCTGATAGTTTTATATTTTTTTCCATGTTTTTGTGCATGGCTAAACACAAATTGGGCAATCAGCATGTGTCGCCCTTCCCCCACTATAAGAACTTGAGCACTTTTGTTCACATAAGTGATTATCCGGTGAGTGACTTTAGTTCTAATTACTTGTCTCTTTTCTACCAAGACTTTGTGCAATTAGCTAACTATGCCTAAACCCTAAACATATTTCTTCCTTTGATGTCATAATTTACAGAACAGATTGGTGTTATTAAATGTTTCATTTAACTCATGGAGACATTTATTTTCACTTAAAAAGGGACTTTAGGAGGAACAATCATGCCTCTATGAAATTAGAATTACAATAGAGAGGGAGCCTGGGAAGCATCCGGCTGAACAAGCAAGAATCTGACCGAGCATGCAAAGCTACATTTCTCGTTGCACTTCCAAAATAAAGTTAATTCTAAACAAGAGCACTAGTATTGTATGCGAGTGTATTGTTACCGTTGGGAATCGGGTAATCCCTTGAAAGGTCTCATGTCAGTAAGGTTCCACACCAATGTCCAATCATTTGACATTTAAAATCAATAACATTGGTTGAAGCGCAGACCTTGAGGAATGCCAGCCAATTCTTGTGTCATTTTCAAATGACTACTTTATTAGGGGTGTATTTCCTTATTTTCCAGAAGAACATAGAATGTTGTGAGTGCTTACTTCACCAATAGATGTTCAAGTGTTTTCACGCTTTTTGAGAAGAGTGTAAACGCTTTGACTGCACAGGTGCATTCTTGCTGGTTTTTTTTTCTTGGATCTTGTTGGCGTGTGGGATAGAAACATTTCTCTTGTGTTCATTGCGTAAGTGTAGAAAGTGTGCCATCCGCCAGAGCCAACTTATCAGTTTTTACAGCAAGCTCTTAATGTTTCTGATTAATGATTCATGGCAGCTGCCGGTGCTTATTTGCGTGTCTCTTCTTGTCTGTCTTCATTCGTGTCATTTTGTCAAATGAAGTTTTAGAGCCTCTTTTCCCAAAACCTTTTAAGCCATGCACCCCCTTAAACAACCGTCAGAGTTGACACACACCCTAGTCCCATGCAAACCCTCATACAAAAAAAAATTAATCATAAAAACATGTACAAGTAATAATATGCTTTTTATGATGTGAAAATTATGTCATGTAATTATTATACAGGCGGCCCGGTGACCCAGTGGTTAGTGCGACCTCACAGTGCAGAGGTCGTGGGTTCAATCCCGGCTCCAGCCTCCCTGTGTGGAGTTTGCGTGTTCTCTCCGGGCCTGCGTGGGTTTTCTCCGGGTACTCCGATTTTCTCCCACATTCCAAAAACATGCATGGCAGGCTGATTGAACACTCCAAATTGTCCCTAGGTTTGAGTGTGAGCGCGGATGGTTGTTCATCTCTGTGTGCCCTACGATTGGCTGGCAACCGGTTCAGGGTGTCCCCCGCCTACTGCCCGAAGACAGTTGGGATAGGCTCCAGCACCCCCCGCGACCCTTGTGAGGATAAAGCGGATCCGAAAATGGATGGATGGAATTATTATACACGCCAGCACTTACTTTTACTCCCAACACGCCAGCGTATGAATCTCTGTGCTAGAGGAAACTGCTGATCTTCGCAGGCCTTCAGGGTCGCCGAGGAGCAGCTCGGAATTCCTGCGCTCTTGGATGCAGAAGACATGGTGGCCCTCAAAGTTCCGGACCGGCTCAGTATCCTCACATACGTCTCGCAGTACTACAACTACTTCCACGGACGCTCCCCAAGTGAGTATCACCACCTCCCTCTGTGTCTCGTCTTTCCATCGTCTTTATCATCATCTCCGTGTTTTTTCCAGTTGGCGGCGTGGCGGCAGTAAAGCGTCCTGCTGACCCACCTGCCGACGGGCCGTCCGGGAAGAAGAATGCGCCGGTGGTTTCGAAAGTGTTCCCTTCATTCAAGCCTGCTAAGGAGAACAATCCTCCCACTTCAGCTAACATTACACCACCTCTGCCCCGCCCAAGACAACCCAGAACCACAACGCCGGTACAAACAATCACACAATCTGTCTTTTTAGAAAACGTCATCACAGATTGATACAAGCGCCGCTAACCTTTTTTTCCAGGACATTCCTGCTGAGAAATCCCATCAGATGGGAACTCTGAGTAACAAGTGCATGTCCTGCAGCAAGCACGTTCACCTGGTGCAGCGACACCTAGTCGACGGGAAGCTCTACCACAGGAACTGTGCAAAGTAAGACTTATCGTGCGGAGTGTCTGATATGACAACATTGCAGGCGCAGCTCAGTTCGGGCTGAAAAGATTCATGGGATAATTCAGTTATTTAAAAAAAAGGTCAAAACTAGATCTCAGCCTCCAAAGCTTTGCAGAGATTATTTTTCCACCCTGACTTATGTTACTGACAATGCAAGCGCCATTATGTGTTGGAATAAAATGGCGTCATGGTGGCGAGCCACAATTCATCATCTCAAGAATTTAGAATATTGATTAAAAGTCAATCCAAAATGTAATATGGAAATGTTGGCCTTCTGAACATTATGTTAATTGAAATACAGGCAATACTTAGTTGGCGCAAACATTCGCCTGTGCGGAGGTACCTAATATTACTTCCTGTTTTTGTGTCTTCTAAATGTCTTGTCTCCTAGGTTACTGGCTCCTCCAAACGCAAGTTCACTCCTAAAAGAGGTTCCTTCCAGTGACCCTCCTCCAGCACACCTCACCAAAAGCGACACTGTGACACCCACGGCGCCACCCAGACTGGGCCTGTCGAGGCCGGTCCAAAAACCAAGCCCCCTTTCCAGTATCACCAGCAGAACTTCATCTCCGCAGAGACCTGCTTCAAATATTATCATGCCTGCAACGCACACTCAGACTGCTCCGGTCGCTAAACGACCCGTGACTCAAGACACTACCGTCACCACACCCGTCGCCATCACCACCAAGCCCGTTGCCGCACCTCGGATCTCCGCCACCGCGGCCAAGACCATCCAGTCGAAACTTAAGTTCTTCGAGGCAGAAGGCGGCGAAAACAAACCTGTAAGCAAGCCTGCAGACGCTGCCCCAAAAGGGTTCAAGTCTGAAGATCCTGTTAAGAAAGCCCAAGGAGTTCAATCTATGCCTAACAAAGTTGCCAAGGTGGTTATAATTCAATCTAAGGTACACATTAATGAAGACAAAGCAGGTGTAACGAAACCTGAAGATAGCCTGGGTAGTAAAGTTGGAAATGGAAATGTTGCGAACATGGCTACGAGCCAGTCAAAGACGCATATTGACGAAGACAAAGCCGGTGCAAAGAAAAGTGGAGACAGTCAGGTTAGCAAAGTTGGAAATGGAAATGTTGCTAACATGGCTACAAGTTACTCGAATACCCATATTGACGAAGACAAAGCCGATGCAAAGAAAAGTGGAGAGCGTCAGGTTAGCAAAGTTGGAAATGGAAATGTTGCTAACATGACTACAAGTCACTCAAAGATGCATATTTACGAAGACAAAGCAGGTGCAAAGAAAAGTGCAGACAGTCAGGGTAGGAATGTTGGAAATGGAAATGTTGCTAACTTGGGGAAAAGTCCGTTAAAGGGACGTTTTGATGAAGGCAAAGCAGGTATAAAGAAACTTGGAGTCAGTGACGGTGGTAAGATGAAAGCAGCGGACACCTCCAAGAACCTCTCAAAGGAGGAAAACAACAACAGCAAGCCAACAGTACCGCCAAAGGCAGACCTGCCCAAGAAAAATGATGTGTAAGGACCCAACATACCACATGACCATGCACACTGTTGATTTCCACTGGAGAAGCTCAAACACTCCTTCATCACTTTTCTTCAGCACATCTCAAGTCCAGACTGTGAAGAAGGAGCTGGAGGCTGGCAGGGGGAGGGTAAGGCTCAAAGTCAACCCGACCATCCTCTCCGATTTGCAGCCGCCACGTTCGGACACGAGCCCACTCAGAAGCAGAACTCCAGAAAGAGGTCTTGGGGGATTGAAACCAGCGCCAACCAACACTTCAGGTTACCCCTTGACCACATTCACATGAACATGATAACGGTTTGGCTTAAAATGTATTTATTTAGTTTCATGTATTTTTTTTTAATCCACATTTTTGGCCATTGAACTAATGCTGCAAGTGGTACAAATCTGATGTTTGTTTAATGGACCACATGTAACAACACAAAAATTGCTCATAAAACATACCATAAGCGTCAATATAAGGCAGTGACATCACAGACATGGAGAATACATGAAGTTGGCATTCAATTGGGCTGGTCTCTTATTTTTCAACACCTCTGAGTTGCAGTGCCACCTGTTGGTTTGTCGTGCGTATTACAGTCTAGTGGAGCGTGGACAGAGATTTTATTTGAAGTAAGCCGCTATTGTGTCACGGTAACACTGCTGTGTTTGTTTTTGGCGTCAACAGAGAAGGAGACGCCCACTGACTGGAGGTCCATGCTCAAACCTGTCCCCAAGGAATCTAAGTAAGCCTTTTTATTTCTTTCTTCGCAACTGCTGCACTTTTTTTTTGGGGGGGGGGACATTTTCCACTACTTCTGTCGTTGAGTAATTCATAAATAGATCATATCTTTTTTGCTACAGATCTGCTGATACATCACAGACATCCACGAAAGTACCGACTAGCACGACTGGAGGCTCACATTCATCAGAGGTGTCTCAAAATCTCGTGAACCCTCCTACATCTCAAGGTCTAAATCAGCAGAGACATTTTTACAGATGCTATTCTGTAGCATGGAGTCCTCCTGTTTCTGTATAATAACGTATTTCTTCTCCGTTTACTTTCTCAGGAATCCGAAATGGTCACCCCATAAACACGTCACAAACAACTTCGGGATCAAATGTCTTGAAGGTAATGTGAGCCCTGTTATGACACATGTCGCTAGTTAGGATGTCACTTGGTTTTTTTTTTGTTTGTTTTTTTTGCCCTTCACGTTCCCCATCTAATGCTTTCATGTGCAGATGAAGCCGGACTTTATTCCCAAAGAGGCCATCATGAAGGAGCTGCAGGAGATTGAAGATAATCTCAACCAGTTGGAGAAGCGAGGGGTTGAGCTAGAAGCCAAGTTACGGCACAGCGAAGACGGTTCGTATAGACAATGATGTGCTGTCTGTAGTGTCAAAATACCAAGGTTCTGTGCCCCCCCCCAAAAAAAAAATACACCAAGATAAATATTTTTTTTTTCACTAAGGCTCTCGTCCATCACCCGTACATTGCAGTCTTGTATCTCAAAAAAAATGGGTTACTTGTAAAGGGTGTGCACACTTGTGAAACCACTTTATGTGAGTTGTTTATTTTTATTTCTCCTCTGGAAAATATATATATATATTTTTTTTTTTCTGACGTTGCACAGGTCATGACAGGTCACATTAATGGTGGAAAAGGTTCAATGGTTGATCTTGGTCTCATTATTTTCCATCACAAAAATCACAGCATTTGTGCAGCGTTGTGTCAACCTTTCATACTCGCTGTCTTATGTGCGGCTGACTGACTGACTGACTGGCCGGGCGGCCGTTTGTGTGTCAGAGGGTGAGGATGACTCCCTGATGGACGAGCTGATGGTGGAGTGGTTTACTTTGATCAGGAACAAGCAGGTGGCCATTCGGCGGGAGTCTGAGCTCGTCTACGTGTGAGTACACGCGAGATGCCGTCGGGTCACACAGATTTTTTGGCCAGAAGGTTCTCGGCGTCCTGCCACCGCTGTCACCCAGGGTGGGACATGGCAAAGGGCGCATGTGCGCGTGTACACACACACACACACACACACACACACACACACACACATACATACACACGTTTTTATTCTCTCATATTGCTAAACAGGAAGAAAAACATTTTGCGGTTAATATTAATTTTGACTTTTTAGAAAAGCCCAATGAACTGCTGAAATGTGTGACTTAAAAAAAAAAGGAATTCATTTTCAAATTCCTCTTTCCTCTCTAAAATAGTGAAATAGCACTCACTGAAATGGAAAAAGTTTGTATTAAAGCAAGGCATATGACTGGATGGTCTCTTATGACAACCAATGAGCAAACAGTATTTTACTTTCATCTCATGGCACCAGGATAAGAAGTCACAAAAAGTATAAACAACAGAAATAATGATGACGTGGTCAAAATTTTAACTCATAAATGTACTTAGTGTGAAGTCTGTGCGTGAACAAGTTATTTTGTTGCATGAAAAGCAGCAGGTGGACACATATTTGTACTTTCTGCCATCTGGTGGTAGAAAATTGAACTGTTTTGCCTGTCAAAGTCAAAGGGTGGGAATCTCACTGGTCTCATGAATGTGTTAAAAAAAATCACACACTGTATGTGCATATGTACAGTGGTAAAACTCAGGATCTGGAGGAGCAGCAGCCCAGTGTTGAGCAGGAGCTCCGGAAGCTGATAGAAAAACCAGGTCAAGACCAAAACGCCCTTCACTGCTTTTAACTCCAAAAACACGACAGCTGCGAGTCAGGACTGAAAATGTCATGTGCTTCACAGAGCATCTGAAAACATCGTTTGAACGCAGGCGAGAAGAAGAGCTGATGAGCAAGCTGATGGAGATCGTCAACGACCGCAATGCCATTGTGGAAGGTCTGGACGAGGACAGGCTCAGGTGTGCTTGCAAACCAAGACTACATTCATTGCGTGCCTTTTTAACTGGGTCTGACACAAAATGGCTGACAGATCTGAAATCAAAACAGTCTACCCAATTTTAGTCATTTTTTCCCCTTAGACCTACGCTGATGTTTTTTTTAAATTGTTATTTTGACCACCTGCTTGAACAGTTAAGTACAGCTGAACTCGAATGGATCCAGGACCCCTATTCATCTGGAATCCACTTTTAATATATGTCCTTATTTGCTTTGTGGTTATTTCACATATCTGTGCTTCCTGTTGTTATTCTATCAGAGAGGAAGAGGAGGACCAAGAGCTGAACAAGTTGATGGAGAATTTCAGTGAGTCCCTTGCGAGGTTTAGATTTGAAAATGATCTTTCAATAAGTCTCACATTGGCATAAATGGTCATCTGACAAAACTAATTTCTACAAATTTAAACACCGTCTAATGATCTTATATGACCAATGCCATAAGTGGCCGCCATCTCTGTGGAATCCCCCCCAAAACATGGAAAAAGTATTCAAATAAGGCGAAAATCCTCCATAAGAAATACATTGCCGGAAAAAAAAATTGAAGTTTATGAGCTTTCTCTACCTACATTGAGGACGGTTTTGAAACATAAATTGTACTAAATGAGGCATGATGTCACTGTTGAGTGTGTTGTAAAATGTGTCCAAATGTCCTCTTCCAGGTGTAAAAAAAGACAAACCAAAGAAAAAGTCTCCCATATCCAAACTGTTCACTTGGGGCAACAAGAAGGAAACGTGACGCCTGGCAGGAAACTCTGACTGCTTTCCTCTGGTGCTTTCAGCGTCACTCCTCCCTACCACTGACTAATGGCACAACTTTGCGCACGCGTGTGTTTGTGTGCGTCTTGATAAGGCATCTGTCATGCTAAGCATTTCTTGATAGATTCTGAGCATGAAGGGTTAACGACATACAAGTGTTGATGGGTTCAGTGCTTCAGTTGTACATTTTAATCCGCTTCCAGTCTTAATCTACTTATTGCACACACACACACACACACACACCAGTAACTCCACTATGCCTCTTGCTGACATGCTGTTTGTAAGAACAAACATCAATAGAACTAATACGAGCGAGGAACAACATTGTTTTTGCTGGTTCTTGCACTTCCAACTTGACTTTGCATCATTTTACCACCAATGTATTTTTTTTAAATGATTTTTTTACTGGGTAAATCCTTCTGCTTTGTCAGATATGGGCTAGCTGTTGTGATCCATATTGGATCTGAAATAATTTCAAATGTGTAGGGCCTGATGCATTATTTTTTATTTGTTCATGGTGACCACCTGCTAAGATGCAATTAAACATGGTATTTATTGTATATTTACCTGTTTAATAGTTATGGGAATAATAATACTTCTAAAATTGAATTTAAGAGATTTTTTTATCATTATATGGTGAAACTAGCCTGTATATGTACTATACTATGATATGTATTAAAATAATATTGTTGTCATGTTTTAGTTATTTGTTGATGTGTCCTGGGTGATGCCTCGATGGGGTATTGATTCTGGGGTGAGGAGGACTCACAAAGAGGATGAGAGAGAAAAGTATCTTGGTATAATACCTTTTAAATCGACACTACGACAAACAACCGCAGGTTGCCACGTTGGCCGCTGCCTCTAGAGGGCAGTATGTGACTTCATCCCCTGTCGGTACTTAAACCTTTCGCGTGCTCGTTTAGCAAAGAGAACAAATAATGAACATTCGGGGATATTACTGCCTACAAGTGTTTTTCAAACCTTGTGTTTTTGTTATAATTGTTTTTTAGAGTAGTGTTTCCTAGCCTTATGAGGCAAGGAATACATTTTACATAAAAAAAATATCTTACGGCACACCATAGGAAATTTTAAATGAAGGTAGCATGTCGCTGTGGATTGGAGAAAATCGCGATCCAAGGTGGTGAAATGTACTCATTAGCGACGCCTACTAGCGTTTATCAAATGAATGACACCACTTATTTGCCATATACCTGTAATCCCAAATGTTATTTCAGATATCCCAACAGGAACTACAGATCATTCATTTTTGTAAAATGGCAACTATTTGACAAATTATTTTTATTTGAATTGTACCGTATAATTATTACAGCGTTAGCCTGGCTAAAATGATGTTTTGTTTACACCATAAAGGAGTGCATTACGGCCTCTTAATGGTTCGTATGCGAGTTGCCGTGGATTTAAATTAAAAGTGGGGCTGTAGAGAACACCGAGCTTTCTGCTGATACCAGACTTGATTTGTTTTTCCTTGTTATACATGCAGCAGCAGCCGATTATTTTGGTCGGTTTTCGACTGACGTCAGGGACGTCCCTTTCCCCTCTCAAGAAAAGTATTTTTTTTTTTGGGTGGCATTAAGGTAAGAAAATCACATCAATTCCAAATCGGAAGTGAGCTTTACTATTTTTTCTGTCGCTTGTATCATAAATAACTCATTTTCAAGTAGTGCTTTTTTTTCAACACGGCTGCGCGACCGCGGATCGGTTTCGTGCTGGTAGGTCGCAATTTAACAGTTTGTGCATCGTGACTAATTAATTGCAGCTTTTTTTTAAATTGCTGCGCGTAGCATGTCCACTAGGTGGGAGTATAATACAGCCATGCCGACAAGTGTAGAAGAGTTTGCCTGAACTACCGTTTGCGACTCGATAACTTGCAAATAGTATCAGTTGTTTCTTGCAGACGATAACGAATATATCACTGTGAGTAACCCTATATTGTTTGTCTGCGTTATACCATCGCCACTTAGATGCTATCTGTTAGCTTGTCAATCGTATTTTCCCATTGTATGTTAGCATTAAGCAAATAGGGTAGTCTTCTGGTTGTTTTAAATGTTTAGTTAGACAGTTAAGGTCCGTCCACTATACCAAACTGCTCCTTCTTGTGAAAGCACCAGTGTATAGAATTTTTGGATCAGTTTAAGTAAAACTTGATAATTTCCCGTGGGATGTCAATATGCCGTAGCACACTGGTTGGTAAATCCCTTTTTTGGGGGAAGTTTGGGGTTTAGGAAATTGTTTGTAACTTTTTTTTTCATCATTTTCTCATTGTTTCAGTTTGCGTCAGACGCCAGCCCTGGAAAACCCATCACAGCTGAGGAAACTCCACACGGACCCATGGATTTCGCCCGTGGCAACCCTTCGCATGTGGTCCGTACACACACACACACACACACACACACACACACACACAAACGTGCACATTCACACACGCGTAGACAGGAGGAAAATCCTTTGAGGATTTCGCTTGACATCTTACTCTTTGTGTTTCTCTAAGTGTGTGTGACATGAGGCAGCCTAGTGATGATTGGCGTGTGTCAAAAAGTGAGAGCAATGTACACACACACACACACACACACACACACACACACACACACACACACACACACACACACACGCAAACGCACACACACAGTTTAAGCGACTTAAAGAATAGGGTTTTTTGTAGCTTTGTGAGTGATGTGAATGGCAGAGAGGATGCACGCTCGATGAATCACCAACATCGTCTATCAGACCTCAAGCTTAATCACAGCAGTTTCAGGTTTTCCAACAGTTTGAGCAATGATGTTTGAATGCACCCCCCCCCCCTCACATAAAACGAATTTTTAGAAATGCAGGAGTGAATGCACATTCTCGTTATGTATTGTACAAACACTTTATACGTCAGTAAACCAAACCTTAATCTGGTTTATTTTGGGCCACAACCTGATGTAACTGTTGAGGCGTAACATTTTCAATCTTCTACTTTATTGGAAGAAAGCAAATGATGAATATCTGCTCCTATAAGATGTACAAGGACATAGTTTCATTAGGATTTCATGTGAAATGTAGTTTAGTAGAATTTCATATGGATCGTTGTGCAACTTTAATAGAGTGATATGCAGCTTTTGCAGAATTTGCTACTCACTAGCACAGAATCGGGCGCCTGTGGCTCAGTTGTACGATCATGTCATTTGGTGAATGAAGAGCAAAATGATTCAAATCCCAACCCCGACTGTCTGCTGCCCAACTGGGCAGGATACTGAATCCTAAATTGCTTCCAGGTCAGCATTGTGAATGAAAAACTGACAATTGCCTTACCTGGTGAAATCAAGTGTTTTAGGATGACACATACCGTATAATGTTGTTTTAGTAGGATTTCATACGAAATACAATGATGCCTTGAGATATGAGTGACCTGACCTACAGTTTTTTTTTAAGATACAAGTCGTCGATTGGCAAGGAATATCTCAACACAGAAGGTGCGACAGGTTAAACATGCCAACAGTATAACAACACTCACAGGCATTTAATCTTTATCCTCTTTAAAGAACGACGAATATTAATGCCGTACTGAGGAGCTTAAATTATTCTTTTTGATTATGCCAAAACCTCATTTCTGAAATGATGGAATATAAAGCAATTGTAGTCTAATTTACCAAGAAGTGTGAACTCATTCACTCCCAAAGACATTTTTATATGTATTTTCAGACTTGGTTTAGAATTGGCTGGGACTGAATGAGTTTAATTGGATTGAATTTAAAAATACTGGTTTGATGCAAAATAGAAGGCACTTTTAGTTGAATTTCATAAAGGAAAGACAGTTTTAGTCTTAAAATATTTAATTTGGATTATTCATGCAATTTAGTCTCATTTCATATGAAATGTAGCGTATGTAGGATTTGATCCCACAATGCCAGTTTCGTCTAATTGCCCCAAAAAGATATTATACTGCTTTCATAGGATTTCCTACAAGACAACAACAGAAAGCATCATCTCTAGAACAAACAGCAATCGGTGAGTATTTATTAAGCCACGCCCCAAGCTCGTGCTCCCGCTCTCTCCGTGTGTTAATAGCGTAAATTAGCATACAAATGAGAGATGCCGTACGATAGAATCCACTCGGCTTCAATCTGTCCGCTGGGACTCGATGATTACCTCTTCCTGCTCTTCTTCATCTCATCTCTCTCTTCTGTCTTTTTGTCCCCTTGCCTTGCCGTGCTGCTGCTGGACACCTACCACCGTGTTTATTCTGCGCTGTTTGTTTACCTGTGTATGAGCTGGTTTTAAGCACGCTTAATTGCGCTTGGCTAATTTGCAAATAAGTGGGGAGGATTTGGAGAAATAACAAACACACACACACACACACGTGTATTTCTAGCATCTTCCACGTCTTCATTTTCCCCCTTTGCCGCGGTGGTCCCCGGCCGGCTGAGGCCCGGCGGAGCACAGCGGGAGGTGTTAATGATGTAGAGGGGGGGCTCGCTGTTCTCTGCTGGGTGTCATGTGTTGCCCGCTCGCTGCCGTCTGTTACCGTGCACGCTGGAAAACATCTTCATTCTTCATGTCCGTGTGCACATGTGTGCTTTTCCATTTTCCACCTCTTCTGCATATTCAAAAGCATTAAAAAAAAAAAGTCAGGCCGCTTTATTTGGGCTTTCAAGGACATTTCCTGGTGTGAAAATGTGATTAAAAAATTCATTTGGAGTTAATAGTTATTTTATGGTGTCATTTTTAAGTTGTAATTTTAGTTTGTGGGGAATGTTGAAGAATAAGAACAACAGCAGTGTAAACCTCTGGGCTCGATGCTGGCCATTTGTCTGCTCATGCAAATGTACTGAAAGTTATCAAAGATGTTTTTTTTTTTCCTCTCTGATTTTATGACCTAGCAGCATAAAAAAAAAAAAACTCAAAATGAGAGGACGTGTTGGCAGTATTTACATGGACTCAAAGAATTAAGTCAGATTGAAAAACTCACTGTGAAAGTACCAACTGCTTTCAACTGGAGACAGACTTAGTCAGCCATCATGGACAAAGCAATTCACGCACACGTCTTAGAAACAATATTGTCTTTGTGGCAGGAGGGCCTGGCGTGGGGATAAAGTGGAGTGGGGTAGGGGGGGCTGTCCACAACGACGTAACCGTGTAATTTCCTAATTCTGATCTTGCAAGACTATCCCTCCTTATCAGTGTCTGATTCCCACATTTGCAAGGAGAAAGTAGACAGAGAGGCTGGAGGCCAACACACACACACACACACACACACACACACACACACACACACACACACACACACACACACACACACATACACACACACACAGGGGCGTGAAATTACATAAAGCAAAGGGATACAGATAGGAGTGAGAGAACAAACAGGCCTATCAAACGACCACAGAGCCAGATAACAAGATAAGGCCTAATCAATCAATTCCCGCACACGGAGAGATATTACTAAGTGGCTCCTGAGTCGTGGCCGCAAATTAAATCTGCACACTTCTCCAAGTGAGAGCGCGGCGAGGATGTAGGAGTGGGCTGAGCGAAAGGGGCAGGAAGAGCTGGGCGGTGGATGGGGGTTGGCGGCGCTAATAGGCGCTAATTTCATCAGCGCGGCCCGTGATGAAGCTTTTACACGCTGCTCGGAGAGGCCAAACTAAAAGGCTGCAGCTCTGCTCGTGTTCAATATAAGTGGGTTGTCATGAGTGGATTTGCAAGACGATAGCTAAAAATTTGATTACAGGCCCTCGTGTGTGTGTGTGTGTGTGTGTGTGTGTGTGTGTGTGTGTGTGTGTGTGTGTGT